CATTTTCTCTTCTACATCTGAGATTCTATTTTCTGAATGATCTAGTCTGCTTTTATTACTTTCAAGGGAGATTTTGACTTCTTGTATTATAGACTTCATCTCTAGCAGTTCCATTTGAGTCTTTTGTAAAGTGTGTAATTCCTCTTTTAGATCTTGCAAGAATTTCCTCATCTCCTGGAACTCGACAACTTCTTTCTCCTTTCTCTTTAGCAGTTCATTATCTCTCTTCTCTTCCATCTCTGTTAGCTTCGACATTATGAATGCTCTAAATTCCTTATCAGACATTTCCATGATTTTCACTGAACTGCTTGTGGATGAGGAAGAGTTACTATTTTCCCTTGGAGGAGAGGTATTTCCTCGTTTTCCCATATTTCTTGTGATCCGGCGGTGGTTTCTTGTCTTCTGATGGATGATGTGTTTCTTTCAAATTCCTGAAATTCAGCCACTAGCTTGTTTGTTGGAGGCTGGATTATCAGTAGAAAATCTTCATTCCCTGAAAAATCTAGTTCGCTGTAGCCATGTGGAACCTTCTTCTGAAGGCCCGGATTCTTCTCAAAATTTTTGATTTTTTAAAAAAACTTTTGATTTTTTTTTCCCCAAATGGTTGTACTATTGGGTCTTCAGAAAAGTGACACATTTTTTGCATAGAGAAACAGAAAAATACGTCATGTGTTTTCTGACAACCTAATGTTTTATACTCCTACAAAAATGAGTTATTTTGGATTATACTATGTCCTTCCATCAAACAGATGGACAACCAGAACTAAAAATGATAATAACATATGATATACATGTAGCATTTTGCAATTTGTAAAATACTTTCAAAGTTATGAGGTAAGTAAAGCAGTAAATACTCTTACCATTAAAAAGAGAGGCGGTAGGCCATGCCTGTGGCCTAGTGGTTAAGTGAAGCATATTCTATATTGCTGACTGCGCATTTCAAATCCTGGCCCAGTGACTTGAAAAACGACTTGAAAAATACACTGGGCATGTATGTGTGCATGTCCAAAATACCCACAGGATGGAGAAATGGAGGAGAAGGGATTGTGGCATGACCATGCCCCATTGGGAGGTGCTCTCTCTCTCTCTCTCTCTGGCAGCACACGGTCCCTCTGGCAGTTATCTATCACCTACAGTGTCCTGCATCTCTCAAATGGGTGTGAGGTAACATTACACTCAGTGCTGTACAAAATATGCAGATGTGCAGACACCTTTCAGATCTGATGCTTTGCAATAACTCAACAGATAGATTTAGTTTATATTTTCATATAGCAATTAATATAGCAACATATTTCTTCTGAATATAATCATTTCTTTCATGTGTATGTGTAGTATTTCTATTTATTTATTTATTTTTTTGAGGTTTATGGTATAGGGCACATACACTTGCCAGAAAGATAGAGAGAGACAGAGAGAGAGAAAGTGAGAAATCACACCCCAGAAGGGGAGGATGGCCACGCCACAATTCCTTCTCTATCCTCTTCTCGGGATCTTGGGCACGCATACACATGTGCCTGGCATGAGTTTAAGCCACCAGGTATGGGACTCAAACAATGGTCGACTACATGTGAGTCCAGCAACGTAGCCATTACGCCATCTGCTGGTCCCCCTGTGTGTGTAGTATTTCTAAAATTAATAGGCTTTTTTATTTTTTAGAAAAGCTTTTTAAGTTTACAGAAAAATTGAGCAGAATGTCCAGTGAGTTACCATATAACCCTTCAATGTCTCAAACAGTTTCCGTTATTATTATTATTATTATCATCATAGGGTGCATACTCACTGGAGAGAGACATAGAGAGGGAAAGTGAGAAATCAACCCCTAGGGGGTGATGGCCACACTGCAGCCCTTCTTTTTCACTCTCCTCTCAAGATTTCAGGCACACAGGCACATGTATGTAGGCAGATTTTTCAAGCTGCCAAGTCTCAAGACCTGAACCACTGTAGGCCATGTGGGAATCCAGTGTATTAACCACCACGCCAGTTTATGCCTCCGGCTTCTGTTACTATTAACATTTTTTATTATTGTGTTACAATTGATGTGCCAATATTGACATATTATCATTTTTATTTATTACAATTTTACTTTATTTTTAAGTTTTAATTTATAGAGGGCGGGAACCAGCAGTTAGCGTAATGGCTATGTTGCTGGACTCCCACGTAGTCGACCGCGGTTCGTGTCCCGGACCCGGTGGCTTAAATCTCACGCCGGGCGCGAGTGCGTGCGTGCCCAAGATCCCGAGAGGAGAATGGAGGAGAAGGGATTGCGGCGTGACCATCCCCCCTGGGGGGTGATTTCTCGCTTTCTGTCTCTATGTCTCTCTCTGTCTGTCTGGCGAGTGCACGCGCCCTACAGTGAAAATCTCTCCAAAAAAAAAAAAAAATTTATAGAGGGCAAGTTTGTTTGCTGGAGAGAGAGAGAAAGAGAGAAAATGAGAGAACCCCTTAATGTGATATGATCACACCATAAACCTTTTTCTCTGACATTTACCCTAGCCTTCTAGCCAGCCAGAGTCATGAGCATGTCCAGCAAGTTCAGGTCAACCTAGAATCCAAACACTGGACCTTCTATATGGTTCCATTATCCAGTAGTGGAACCTTGTTGCCTGTGCTATGTGGCTGGATCTCTTTTTTTCTGTTTTTTTTTTTCCTTATTAAAAAATGACTCTCTGTTGTGGAAGTAGAGAGAATAGTGGTTATTAGATGCTAGGAAGGATAAGGAAGATTGAGAGCATTTAGCTAACAGATATAAAATTACAATTAAGTAGGAGGAATACATTCTAGAGTGCCCTAACTCTGCAGGACAATTGTACGTACCAACAGTTTATTGTGTACTTCAGTAAAGCTAGATGAGAGGATTTTGAAAGTTTCTAACACAAACAATAAGTAGATATGACATTTAACTTGGTTTGATCATAATACATTGTGTACATGTATTGGAATATCATTATACTCCATACATATGTACAATCATTACTTGTCAGTTTAATATAACATAAATAAAAATACTTATCTTTATCTTCTGTTTTCAGATATAAAATACAGTAGCTTGAGAATGATAACTGCAGGTGAATATTATCTTCCTGACTTTGTGAAGTACTTTCAGCTTCCTGTAAGCTTTCAAGGAAGTTTGGAAGAATTCTACTTTTATCAGTCATGTGCGATGATTTTTTGAAGGAGCAGGTGCAGTGCAGTTACATTACTGCATTTGCCAGTAAAGCTCCAGGTCGCTTATTAATGCCATTGTCTTCTTCCACAGACATCTTGAAAGGCCCGAGAAGCTGGTATTTGAAGTTGTGACTTTAGAAGAATACCTATAAACATGAGGAAAACTTAACATCACAGTGTTTGTTAGGAAACATTGGATTAAATACAGTATACTTAACATCTGGTCTACGTCTCTAAATCATAACCACAAATCTTCAAAAAACCCTAGTGTAGGGGACCAGCAGGTAGACAGGGGTTAGGGCGCTGGAATTCCATATGACCAACTGCAATTCGAATCCCAGACCTGTCAACTTGAAACTCACATGGAGCGTGTGTGTGTGTGTGTGTGTGTGTGTGCCCCAAATCCCGAGAGAATGGAGAAGGGATTGCAGCATGGCCTTCCCCCTGAGGAGTTATTTCTTGCTTTCTGTCTCTCTGTCTCTCTCTGTATCTCTGACAAGCACATACATCCTATAGCAAAAGTCTCTCTAAACAAAACAAAACAAAACTCTAGCCTATTAAGAAGTGAATCAATCCCCTTTGCAAAGAAAAGGAGCAGGTAGTACAAATTCTCTTTGATCTGAAAAGTTTAAACTGGACGTACAGAAGGGTTTTGACTGAGAATCATACTTGTGTCCCTCTAGAAAGGAGCCGTGGGCAAAAATGTCTCAGGAGAATCTTCATGAATTGTTTCATGATCACTGTGAAAACCCTAGAGTGGGTCAGCTTTTCATGAAAACACCTCTCTGTCCATTTCTCAGTGTGTCAGGAAGCTGTCTGGGAAGCCTTCAGGACTTTTTGGGATCGACTTCCAGGGCATGAGGAACATCGTTACTGGATGAGTTTGTGTGAGAATGGAATCACGAGTATATTTGAAATGGGCACAAATTTTAGTCAGTCTGTGGAACATAGAAGCTTGATCATGAAGGTAAGTGTCAAAACAAGGGATGGAGCGCGTATACACAACTAAGGCCAGAGGAAAAGGACAAGTGGCAGATCCTTGCATTCTTTTTTATTGAATGGGGCCATCTGAAGTACCTGCCTATGGTGTGTTCTAGTCTGTTATCCCTAGCTTTGGCCATGATAGTGAATATTATTAACCCAGATAAGAGCCTTAGTCTTATTTATAATATAATATTTAGAAATAATATGCAGTAGAGGCTTGACCTAATAATATAAATCTGTCCAGTGTTCAGCATTTTTGCAAGTTTTACATATGAGCAATTCAGAGTGAATGCCAGTTATTTTAGGATAGAGGATAGGGCTGGCTCCATGGCTCAATGGTTAAAACAGCTAGATTGCAACTAGCTGACTGAGCAGTTTGAATCCTGAACCCAGCGGCTTGAGAAACACGCTGAGCATGTGTGCATGTATGCTCAAAATCCTGAAAGGAGAGAGACAGAGGAGAAAGGGTTTAGTTTCCCCTCTTTCTCTCTTTCTGTCTCTCTGTTTCTCTCTGGCGAGTTCACATGCCCTAAAGGGGGAAAAAAATAAAGGGTAGATAGAATTCATTGAATAAATGTTGAGTGAAGCATGAATATAATTTTAGTAAATGTACTTGCATACTTGTTTTCCTTGGTGTAGATGTTAGTTTATTCTTAGCAAAGGAAAAATAAGTATGCACATAGACAAATCACCTGTCTATGAACTCCTTTTCATGGAACATGTATGACAAAAAAGTCACTTCTTGTCATTATGACAAGAAAATGAAGACATATGTGACAAATTTTTCATACTCTCTGTATCTCTCTGTCTGTTCAAGATCTACATGTCCTCAGGTCCGATGTAACCTCCTTTGTGAGGAACCAACCCTCAGCCTAGCAGCTTCATCTCCCATAATTCTTTTTTTTTTTTTAAACTTTTCAGAGGGCATGTGTGCATGCTAGAGAAACAGGGTAAAGAGAAAGGAAGAGGGAGAACACATCCCCCAATGGGGTGTGGTCACATCGCAATTCCTTCTACATTTGTCCATCCTGCCTGGATCTGAGGCATGCTTCCACATGTGCCCTGCATGTTTTTCAAGTTTTTAGGCCTGGGATTCAAACTGTTGGTCATGTGGGATATGGTTTCCTTAATGGGGTTGGTCCAATGCTTATCTGTTTTAAAACATTATTCTTCAGGACCAGCAGATGGCATAATGGTTATATCATTGGACTCCCATGGAGTCAGCTGTGGTTCAAGTCCCAGATCCAGTGGCTTAAAACTCATACCGGGCATCTGTGTACGTTTTTAAGTTTTTATTTCTAGAAGAGGCATACTATTCTTTTATTTTATTTGGTTCTACAGAAGGATGATCTCATTTAGTGGAGCAAATTGAAGAGAGATGGATGGACTGTTTTTCTTCAGGGTTCTACACATTTTGGAAATATACAGCTTTTTATGTGTTTTAAAATGAACTCAGTTTTTAATCATGGTACCTCACATTTTAAGCCAAAACATTGCATATGATTTTTTCTTCTGTCAGAATTTTAACTGTTCAATATTAATAGATATGATAATAGTTGCTTTCTTTAGTATCTACCACACACTAGATCATGTATTAAGCCCATTCAAAACATTATATCTAATAAACAGCAACCTTACAAGGAGGTGGTAATGTCCCCCTTTTACAAACCAACACACTTTATAGATAAGGATATTTAACAGATAAATATCTCAGAGTTATTAAATTCTTTATCTTACATCATAAAACCAGATGTGATGAAGCTTAAATCCAAACCTAATTCTTCTTTTCTCCAAAATTTATGTATTTCTCCCATATCATCTTCTCTCTCTCTCTCTCTTAGAGGTTTTTACCCTGTGGCACGTGCACTCACTGGAGAGAGAGAGATAGAGGGAGACAGAGACAGAGACAGAGAGAGGAAAAGTGAGAAATCACCCCGTGGGGGAGATGGCCATGCTGCAGTCCCTTCTACTCCATTCTTCTCCTGGGATCTTGAGCACACATTTACTCATGCCCAGCTTGAGTTTCTAGTCACTGGGTCCAGAACTCAGACTATGGTGGGCAATGTGGGAGTCCGGCGACATAACTGCTAAGCCATCTGTTGGCTCCTGTGTCTCCTTTCTTAATAGTTAGCAGTTTTACAAATTCCAATGGCAATATGGACTAGCTGATTAGTAAAAATCACACACACACACACACACACACACACACACACACCCTTTGTTTGCTTAGTGTGTGTGTGCACTTAGCGGAGAGAGATAGAAAGTGAGAAATGGGGAGAATGGCCATGGCACAATCTATTCTTCTCTATTCTCCTCTTGGAACTCTGGGCATGCATGCACATTTGCCTGGCATGATTTTGAAGCTGCTGGGTCTGGAATTCAAACTATGTAGTCAGCTATGTGGGATCCAGCCACCTTAACTACCATGCCTGTTGGCTGGCCCCAGTGCATATTTATATTTATAATAGCATGACTATCTCAATTGTGTCCACAATATAGGATCAGCTGTTAGTGTGGCAGATACATATGATGCTTTACTATTACCATAACAAGAGAATCTTGTGATGTTGTATTGGAACGTAAGTTAGTAAGTTTAGATTTGAAGGGATAGGCAATATATTTGCTTTTTATAAAATTTCTTTCTTTCTTTCTTCTATGAGAGAGTGAGATAGACAGCTGGATGAACAGACTAAGAGAAAGCACTCCCAAGAGGGTCCTCATTGCCTCAATACACTCCCAGTTTCAACCAGCCCAGATCATGGACACACATATGTGTACCCCCAGGTGTGCAGGGAGATTCTGGGATGTGAACTAGGGACCTTCCTATGTAGGTCCAGTTGTGTTATGGTCCAGGAGATATGTTTTCAATGATTATATACTAGAAAAGGCAAAGGGAGTGACGTGTTGCCTGGATTGAGTCTAAACTTTTAGGTAAGTTACTTAAATGAGGAGAATTTGGGGATGGACGTTCTTGGTAGAGTAGACAGCTTGAGCCCAGTGTTGAGGGGATGACTTGGACCAGTATACCAGAAGTGTAGACTAAAAATGACAGGAGATCAGACTAGAAAAGTGAAATACATATCAAACTTGGATTCGACTCTGGGTGGTAGGAAACCTCTGAAGGAATTTGAGATGATAAATCACAGGACTGATTTGATAGCTTTGAATTTTAAGGTCACATGGTTTTCTGTGCACCATAGGATGGATTACAGGGGTGAGACTGGAGAAAGAGAGTCAGGTAGGATACAGTTTCAGTACTCCAGGCCCAAGAGGATGAGGGTCCTAACCAGATTGTGAGCTAGAGAAAGGGACTGTGAGAGATGTAAGTAGAAGAGAAGGTTAGCAAGACCCATGAATTGGATGGAAGTGGGATAGGGTGAAGGAATGGCCCAGGAAGTCTCTTACTTTCTAGAGTAGGGGACTACGACTGAGAACTCTGTAGATGTGGCAGAGAGAACAAGTTCACATCTGAATGCGTTATTGGAGCTGCCTGTGTGAAATGTGACTTGCTTGATATTTAGGTATGAAGCCAAGGAGAGTGGCCTAGGATATAAATATAGCTATAAGAATGACTAGCCTGGAGGTGGTAATGGAAACCATGGGAATGACTGAGGTTATAGCTAGAGAATCTGTAGACTAAGAAGAGCAATGAGTTATTTATAAATATTTAAAGTATTACCTCTTCATTTTACAGATGAGAAAATTGAGGTCTGGCACCAGAAAGATTTGGAGATTTGCCTAGGTAGCTAAGAAGGGGAAACTGGGTCTTGAAACTAGGTCTTTTGATTCCAAATTAGTGTTGTTTTTTAAAAAAATCATGTTGGTCTCAAATAAAACTTTTTTAAAAGAAGAGTTGTTTTATTTAATCTTTTATTCATTGTCATTATTTTAATTTAAATTTTTTGAGGTTGACCAGAGAGAGACAGAGAGAGAGAGAGAGACAGACAGACAGAGAGAGAAGGAAAGTAAGAAAGCAAACTTGCGGGTCAGGGGCTGAAATCATGGTCAGTTCCCAGGTCTCAAATAAAATTCTAATTTAGAAGAAATTTGGGGACAATTTGCTTTGGAATGTCCCTGAATATAATCCAATTATTGATATGATTTGCCTTTTTCTCTGAATGCTGGAAAAATAGATGTATCATTTATTTCATCCATATGTTTCCATTCTTCTAAGATGAGAATTACTATAAATATGCTAGATCAGAAAATTCTTTGATCGTAAGTCAGTCCATGGCAGGTTAGCATAAAACCCTATCTATCTCTAACTTGTTGACCTTTTTGAAATAATCAGCAGGTTCAATCTGTTAATCTGCGCCTGTAAAGAGAGGGCGTAGGAACCTTTGGCCCCATAAACAGAGAATGAGTATTGGGATGTTCTCATAGTCTTCAAACAAACTCTGCATCATTAGAACCTGCTTTAATAATTTGTTTAAACAAATAGAATAGTAGCAGAGATTCTACCATATCAGAGCATTGGAATTCTCTCTAGTGTAATTATTTATGCTTAATAACTGGGGCCAACCCACTCAGGTATTTTTATGTCTTTGTTTTCCTTAGAAATTGACTTACACAAAGGAAACTCTAAGGAGGTGAGTGTCTCTTTTTCCCTAAATACGTGTTTGGCACCATAAGATGTCTTATACTTATTCCAAGACTCACCCCAAATTTAACGTGCCTTTTTATTTTCTTGCCAGTTCCTGCGATGACCAGGCCTGTGGGTAAGTCCTGAATGCTCTTCCTCATTGTGAGGCCACCTCCTTTTCCAGACTACCATCTCTGCCACTGTGCTTGTTTACTGTCTGACCTCACCAGGAGGCAGACTTGTCTCTCTCTGAGGTAAGAAAACAGATTTGTGGTTTACATGGAATGGTCAACAGTGGTTGAGATTTAAAACTAATTATTGTACTGGCTCTTTGCACAGCAATGATGTGCTAAAGAGAAGTTGGATCCCACATAGTCACAATGGTTCAAATCTTGGTCCCAGTCAGCCCATAACACATTAACTGAGATACCATGGGTTGGAGGAGGGGAGGAAGGGGATCATAGCACAAACCAGATGCCATGGGGAGTACTTCTCTGTCTCTATCATGCCTGTACTCTATCATGATTAAAGAAAAAAAAATAATAAAAGCTGACAATGAAATTGTTCTAGGACAATACACCTTTGTGGAACATAGTTTGTTTTATTTACTTATTAGTTTGCTATAGGTGCATGTGCTCGCCAGAGGGAAACACAGAGAGAAAGACAGAGAGAGAGGGAGTAAGGAATCACCCCTTGGGATGATAAGATTCCCTTCTCCACTCTCTTCTCAGGATTTTAGGGTATGCAAACACACATGTCCGGCATGTATTTTAAAGCCAGTGGATTGGGACTTGAACTGCATAGTTGGCCATATAGAATCCCGCCGCCTTGACCTCCATGCCACCTGTTGACTCAATGGAAGGTAGTTTATTAAATAATAAGTTATAGTGTGGACAGTAGTGGATCATTAATGATGGTTTTGGTCTGGAAACATATGTATGGCACAACATTAGTAGTTAGTTAGTGTTATGGTTCTTGGCTCTACTGGCCTCCAGGCTGAGGGCTATGGTCATTCCTGGCTACTGTAGTACGAAGCAGATCACATAAGAGAGGGACTTTTGAGCCTGTAGGGAGTAGAGTTCCAATTATATCCACCTTCAGAACATCCAAATTATTGCCAGTGTGTGGGTGATTGATTAGGAAAGTGCCACTAGGGCATATGCTCAGGTCACAGTCCAGCATTTTGCCTCAGATTAGAGAAAAGGGCCAAGTAAATGAGTCTGTGTCCAGAGATCCAGCCCGGCAGTAGACACAAGGTGAAACGATAGTTGGAGTAGCCATATGGGTAGTAGTGAGGTATGCTGAGGTTTCAAATCCAACACGAGCGAAGAGAAGGGAAGTGGGACTCTGTGTAGTCTTATTCATGTGGCTGATGATAGCACTGAGTCTATGAAGAGGCTTGGGAATAAGCTTCTATCTAGACTGAAGCCATGTGAACTTTTCAGTGTGGTCTCTTCACCACTAGAGGCAGAGCTCAAAGTAATCCAGCCAAGTAAAGGGGACATCTGGGACTTAGACCTCTGCTTATGCGAGTTTCAAGAATCAAATTTTAACCACTAGTAATAAAGTCTTTTACTGTACAAAGTATTATGATCTCAATGATCACACACAAGTAAACCAGAACTAACAAAAATGCCCTCACAAGAATCCAAAATAGAAATAAAATTGGTAATTTCACAAAACGTCTAAAGCCCGACTACCTGCAACATCTATCAAGTAGTCTTTAGCAGTTTTCTGTAGGATCTGGCAAATGAATAATAAATGTATCTTACCCATTTTTGTAACCCTAATAGATAATCTTCTTGAGGGAAAAAAACGATGTTTTAGGAATCTTTGCAACTTCTACGTCACCCAGCACCAAAACTCCATGAAGTTTAATCTCAGCATATACATGTGCCTTGATTTGGTTGATTTGTTTAATCAGTCAGATAAAATGAACACATAATTGTGTTGTAAGTGGGCATGGGCATGTGCATGTGGGTCACCCCCCCCCCCGAGATGTGTGTGGAGAGAGGGAAGATAAATCAATTCAGTAGGACAAATTATTTAAAATTTATTTTATTCATGATACTGTGTACACACATAAGAAAGCGAGGGGAGAGATGCACCCGTAACAACATCTCATCACCCTGAAATCCCCTTTCCCTGTCCCTCTAGCTGGTCAGGATCTGTAGCATGTATGCTCATGCACCTGCACCAGCATGTTTTCAAGCCACCTGGAGATTGGAACCCACAGCTGGCCATGTGGCTTATAGCACTGCAGTTCAGTTTGCTACTTACTAAGCCACCAGGCTGGACCAAAGATGTCTTTTTTGATTTATTTAGCTTTGTGTGTGCTCCATCTGGTCACACCCTAAATTTTACCAAGATTAAATTTCCCTATTAACTAATTATGGATACAACTAAGCAAACTTTGTCCCATTTAGTTCTGTGTTATACCACAGTGGAGACGCAGTATTCCTGACAACTGAACTTGGGAACCTAGTCAGATTTCATTATGCAAAGAAGAAAAATGTAGATTTGCTGTTTATCCTCCTTAAAGAAATATTTCTTACATAATACATGAACTAAGAAATCCCTGATGACATTGCACCTAATTTACAACAACTAGGAGAAGATTAGAGAAGGAGAAAAACTTAAGCCTATGAGTTAACTAAAGCAGAATTGAGTTTTCTCTGGAGCTGGACCAAATTGATCATATTATTCTATTTCTGGAGTTCTTCTGCAGCTTAATTCCCCCCTCCTTGTATCCATCAGTTGGAAATAACACTTCCTTTCTCTCCTTCACTACCCCAACTCCCAAGAGGATTTTGCAAGGGAAGAAAAAGAATGGTTATATCCACGTGAAGAGAAACTTTCTCATCATTAGACATAGTCTGTAATGCAATTCACATATTAGCATGAGTGTAAATATTTAGAGATGCTGAGGTAGTATGATGTCCAGGCATCCAGATAACTGGGGTGAATTATATCATCATAAAGATGCCAGAGAGAAAAGAGGTGAGACTTTGCCCTTACCATTCTTGTCATAGAATTAGGTAGGTAGACTCAATAGTAGACCTCTATGAAAAATACATCTTGACTTATTTTTCTGAATTAAGTATTGAAACCATTCCATTTAATCTTAATGGGAGCCTAATAACTAAAAATATGAACGTACCAACAACTACTTGAGCATCGTGAAAAGCTTCTTGCTCACAAGAATGGGTAATGGAGTTTGCTCTATGAAAAGGTTTAGAATACCTATACTTCAATAATTACCTAATTAGAGGCTTTTCAATTTAATTAGAAAATAATATTAGCTAACACTGATATCTCACTTATAAGCCAGACATTGTTCTAGATACTTTATTACTTGTATTAATTTACTTAGTCCTCTAAACAGTGTAGTGAGGTAGGCAGCATTAATATCCCTCTTTTAAAAAGAAGGAAATTAAAGCATAGAGAGTTTGAGGGACTTGCACAGGTCACAAAGTGACAAAGCTATTATGTAGTTGAGCTTGTGTTCAACCCTTTTGCCATAGTGTGTCCCTATTCAAAGTATTTGAGTTTTATAGATCATTTAGAAAGAAAACATTTGGTTTTCTTTGTTGGGTGTGTATGTGTGAATAAGGGACAAGCATGAAAGATAAAAATTAGTTTAAATGGTTTCTATAATTTCAAAAATAACAAACTTCTTCCTCTTCCTTCTTCTTTTTTTACATTGCCACAGGTTATATATGCTTACCAGAGAGACAGAAAAACAGAGGAAGAGGGGGAAAGCACCCCCTAATGGGTGTAGCCATGCTTCAATCCTTCTCCCTCATTTCTTCATCTTGTTGGCATTTTGGACATGCATGCACATGTGCCCAGCTTGTTTTTCAAGCCACTAGGGCTGGGATTCTAACCATGCTTGGCCATATGGGATCTGACTCTAAATCACTAGGCTAGGATGTCAACCTAGCTTCTATGTAGATCTTTGTTCCAGCTTTGAAATCTTATTTACAGAAATTAAATAGAACTACCATCAAATGAACAAACATTTAGAGAGTGACTACATTATAGTAGACAAACTTCTCCGTGGTAATATTTCTTAATTGTTCAGTCAACATAGTGAATGTCTACCAGGCCTTCTGACAGTGTGCTGGTGCAGGGAGCCAGTGTGGGAGAGGCATAGCGCTGTCAACAGGGGAGGAATTAAAGTGTTGATGTTTCTCTTCACAGCAGCTTGTTCTAGGTCTTGGTTATTTCATTTTGTTTAAAAAGTATTTGTTCTTTAGGTTTTGGGGAAACATCAAGTGATCAAGAAGAACAGAATTCCTGTAGAAGGGCAGGAAGACACTCTAGGTCTTTCTGTGTCGGTAGAATATCAGTGAGAGGTGTGCTGGTCTTTGCTCTGTGCTGTTGATGAGTGTGTAGGGTAACCCTCATGGCGACAACTGGCAGTACTCCCACGGCAAATGAAGGATGATACTCCCTGACTCTTTAGGTAATGGGACACCCGTAGTCCCACCTTTATCCCGTACACATCTGCATGTGTACTTACACGGCCCCTCACATTTTAACGACCTTTTTAATTTCACAGTTAATGCGCACAGTTACCTTGCAAAATCTTAGAGTGAGATTCTCTGACTTTCAGAGAACTTCTGGGACCAAAATTCCAATTATTAAGTGACAGGAAAATGGAACTATCTAATCAGTTAACAGCCTTTGGGGGTATTCTAGCAATGTCAGGAAAAGAAAAATGTACCTGATTTGATAGTATAAACATTTTACGAGCTGGTGTTTATTAACCTCCCCTCCCAATTCAGTAATGGTTCTATTTAAACATCTTTTTCTTTGAAAATATTTTAATTATGAAATATCTCAGACACATAGACAACAATCACACCTACATGACTCTGGCCCTTTTATCTTCCTGGGCAAACTTGTGTTTCTAGAGACGATGGTGAATACAGTGTGCCTATGACATTGGGAGTGTGTTGACATCCTGAGTGCATAGCCAGAACAAGTCACTTCACTTCTTTT